GTTATGGTTACTTGAGCACATTTTACTAGTTTAGTAATAGATACGACGTACACAAATGTAGGGCTAGCACGACCGAGTGCGACTTGCGCGAGAGCGACATTAGGTGCGGGATCTCTATGAAAGAATAGCAGTATTCTTGAGAGATTAGATATAGATTATAGATGGATAGATATAGATTAGATCTAGAGATATTAATTTATTGTTCTGTGTACCATCCACATAAAATAGGCACTATAACGTCAAGCTGCGGAAACCAGCTTGTTACATCATACCATAGGTACTTCTTGCAACTTTGTTGTTTTTTGGATTGGTTGAGGTTTTTAGAGGGGATATGTGTAGGTACTTGGTGTAACGTGCTGGTGTCCGCAACTCGACGTCAAGGCGCCTATTTTGATATGTGTAGGTATATCCTAGTTAGGTTTTTTGAGGGAAACGTATAAATATTTACCTACATAAAATACCAACTGGCCACCTTGGATCCAATCGACAAGCGTGCCAAAATGCTAGTAGGTGACTCGAATTAGTAGAGGCGAAGCTGCAGAGCCTTGAACACCGCCGTAAAGTTGCCTGCTTACATGTATTCTAGAGGATTATAGGTATATCACGGAGAGTGTGCGATGGAATCGCACAATTTGATTCCGCCTTCCCCTTGCCATCATCGGGGGACTAGACGTGGGCTGGGATTCCACCCCTATGTTGTGGATATTCTCAAGATTGGCACGAAGCGTTTCGCTTCCACATTTAAATGGCGAGCGGCTAGAGAGTGTAATTCCCTACCTGCGGACTTATTCCCCGAACGCTATAACTTGGACCTTTTCAAGGCGAGAGTGAATAGGCATTGTGGTTGAATAGGTATGCATGCTACATCGTCGACCTCATCATCACTTTCCATTAGGTGAGATGGAGGTCAAATGCGCACTTTTTTTTTTATATAAAAAAATACACCTCTTTGTCAAGCTGTCCCCTCCTTGACTGTAACTCAAGCAAAATTTAATTTTAGGTTTAATCAAAGGTTAGGTTACATATAGTTTAATGGTTTAAGAAATTTCGCCTAATCAGGTAAAATACTTGACGTTCAGCGCAGTACCCTATGTGCACTGGGCGCGGTGGCGTGCGCTCGCCCTGAGCTGGCTGAGGCGGTAGTGGCTGGCGGAGTGTTGCCCCAGGCATTGCTGCATGCTGGACATGATGCTGCGCCCGTAAGGAGGGCTGCTGCCTGCTTGATTCGAGACATTGTTAAGCATTCTGTTGACGTAAGAACGCTTTCTTATTTAACTTTTTTAGTAAGTAGATAGATATGGTTACTTGCCACCATCAACTGTCATATTGTCTTTTCTATATCGTCTAGCTAGCACAACTGGTGGTGAATACTGGAGGCTGTGGACCCCTAGTAGAGCTTCTCGCGGATACAGCGGGTGGTGCACGTGTACCCGCTTGCATGGCTTTGGGTTACATCGCAGGACAGTCCGACCAACTTGCCATGGCAGTTATTGAGGCTAAGGTGCAAATTTTTATTTTTTTTCTTAACTTTGTATAAATTACCTACTAGGATGGCGGTTGTTTAAGGCAGAAACGCCTATCTACTTTTTGGCCCACAGACTTTTTTCAAACAGTGAACTATAATGTGATGATATGATAGTGGCAATATAATGATAGTGGAAATCTTGTGTATTCTTTACAATATCATATCTGTAGGTAAATGAAGTTTAAATTTTGTAATTTTATGTAAGTAATGTGCCTATAAGCACGTTTAACCTAATACACACACTGGCACATTAGTAAAATTCCCGAAATAATGCACTGTTTTTTTCCGACGTCTGGTGGGTTATTATTAGGTGTCATTTGAAAATAATTTAATTGACTGTAATTTTTTTCATTCGTCTTTTAATTTCTTATGTATTAACAGGTTTGTCGAGTAGTTCGATATTTATTTTGCGTGCTAGTAAATTTCTGAAACTTTAGTTAAAAAGCTTTTTTATTTATTAAAAACTGTTTTGGTTAAAACTCTTATTTTTTATTTTATTTTCAGCAGTCACAAAATCTAAAAAGAAACTTATTTAATAATATAATAAAATAATTTCGATATTTTGCATTATAGGTTAAAGGTGAGGCTGGGCTTAGTCGATGATAAAATATGTTTATTTTATTATTTAAATACAAACGTTACTATTTCATATTCTCACTGTTTTGGTTCGCTTACTGTGCCGGTGTATGTGCTTAGATAAAAACTATGACAAACTAAATTAATTAACAACAAAACTGGGTAAAATCTAACGAGTTGTCCGAGCCTAATTGGCAATTGTGTTTAGAAGCGGATTTTATGCACAGACTTCCTAATCCGTTTTCGCGTTGATAAAAAATCGAATGTTATTTCAGTGAGCGCAAACTACGTAACGTCAGGATATTGACGACCACAGTGGTCTAAACGGTTTATAACGCTGGATGAGAAGGTGACCAACTTGGGAAATGAATTTTTCTAACTTGGTTCTGGTCTGGGTGTTCTGGGAAGTGCCCCAGAGGAATTCCGTTGCTCTGGTACTCCATAGTCATAGTACAGGGAATTCCCAGGCAATTGGAGTGGTTTTCTGGCATATTATAACATTACTTACCAGGTATATTCCTTCTTCGAGAACCAGATGAGAGGCTAGGAGTCTGAAAACTACGCTCCGTGGAAATCCTCGGTTTGTCGGTAATGATGACGCGTCTCTTTTGAGTTGAAATTCAGATGTTGATGTTTATAAATTAGCATCTAAAGAAATACGTGTCAAAATTCTTTGTTGAAAAATTATATTTTACGTCATTTAAATAGCGCTCATAATTGCATTTTAAACGAGTCTCTATAGTTGATTGTCCATTGTATTCTGTATAATAAATTTGATGAATGAAGTGAACGTTTCAGGCTATCACCCCATTGGTAGAAATTCTGCAAAACCCGGCTTCTGAAGACGCGGAGCTGTGCGCCGCCGCGTGGACCCTTGGCCATATCGCCAAGCACTCCCCGAGACACAGTCTGGCAGTAGCTGTTGCAAATGCTCTACCAAAGCTTTTACAGGTATTCCAAGTATATTACCATTTATCATGTTTGGCGTAGCGCTTAAAATACAACATCCAATGCAAAGAAGGGTAAAGGAGCAGCTTAGTACTCGTTACAAGGAATCCTTTTTATTTTTATATCTAGAACTTAATCAGTGTTACTTGAGCTATTTTCGTTCACGAATGATATTGCTCTGGCTAACAAAAAGGGAATGGTGTGATTTCCATACATTTCAGCTTTACACAATCCCTAAATCGTCACCGGAAGTGCGAGCGCGTGCTTGCTGTGCGTTGAAGCAGGCACTGCAATGCTGCCTGCATAGACCAGCTTTGGAACCCTTGCTGCATGCAGCACCAGCTTGCATACTCAAATATGTACTTGCACAGTACGCCAAGGTACTTAATCAGCAATCTAAATTATGGCTTGTATAGTAGTTAACTCAATGAACATGGTCCTGTTATTTTCAAGGCTGGAATAATGGCATAGTGATTGAGTATCCTCATCTATTTAGTACTGAAGTACCTTGTCATGATTAATAAGGGTATAATAATAAGTAAGAAAAATATATTAATTAACAAAATAAATTGTTTAAATGTCATCAATATTTTGTTAAATAGATAGTTGATGTTTACAAACTGTACAATTATTAATGTTATTATTTTTTGTTACTTTTGCAACATTACCTGTATATTCGTTTATCCATTTGTTAGAAATTCCTATAAGGTTCAGTGTGCTTATTAACCATGACATTATGGAGATAAAAGGGTATTTGGAAGGACTGTACATTACCATCGCACGATTTGAGGGGTGGGGGGAACGGGGGAGGGGAGGGGACCCTTCGTGTAAAGTTTCAAAGTTAGGAAGTTAATAGTTTTCGAGATATTAATTTTTGAAAATTCGAAAAAAATAACCTCAAAAAATCGTGTTTTCGCACCAAAGAGCGGGGTAAACCCCTCCCCCCGAACCCCTAGCGGGAAAAACCCACCCCCGAACCCCTCCCCACTTCCTGTGTTATATGAGAAACTAAATTTAACTTAAAACCAGGCAAAAACGCAAAATCCTAATTGATGCATACATCAAACAGTAAACAACAACAAACAACATGGCGTTCTTTTCGCGTTTCGTTATTTTTTGCAACAAAAAATATTTGTTCAAAAATAAAAGCTTACATACGAATTATAGTGAATTTCTATGTTAAATTTACAATTACGTATTAATTTGTGCTTTTTAATTCAATACTGCGAAAAATTTTTGAAATAACGCAAAAAAATAAACATTTTCGTAAAAAAAAATGAACGAAACGCCGCGCGCGCGGCGTTTCGTTCATTTTTTTTACGAAAATGTTTATTTTTTTGCGTTATTTCAAAAATAATACTGCAACAACCAAACGCTGTGCTCAAAGAGGATCTAATCTGTGCTTTCCTAACTTACACCTAAAACTACACCTGAACTAAACTAAACCTGTTTCTTATCACTTATTTTCGAATATTTCAATAATTTTTATTATCAAAACTACGAGTTTCCTAAAGCTAATATTTTAGGATTAGACTGCTAACTATGTAATCTATTCACCATATTAATTTCAACTCTCAACTCGTGCGATGGTAATGTACAGTTGAGCCGGGTATTTCCTGAGATGTTGGTATAGGGAAGTACTTGTATTATCTAACCGTAATATATATAGGAATCTTACATAATGAAATTATTTAGAATTTGCATTTATACAATACAAAATTCATTGAGAACTTATTCTTTCTTATCACAGCCATGTTTTTATCCAATGTTGGAAGAATGTATAAAGATTCAATAAACACTTAGTACTTAAAAGGATCACATTCCCTAAATTTGTATGGTAGATTAAAATCTGTAGATTTATAACTGTTCAAACATACGATCAAGAGGTGAGCATGAATTAAGGATGCGGAGCACTTTAGTACACTGGACCATCATCTAGATTATCATCGTCTTCATCATAGTCTTCACCATTGTCAAAGTAATTATTGGCATAATCAGTTCCATCGTCAATTTCATAATCTTGTTCATGCTCTTCTTCCAATTCTTCGTCATCATCATCTCCATCGTTCTTTTTCGCTACTTCTTCTGCATTTGCCTCTACAACTTCGCCAGACTCTGCTTGAGATTCCTTTTTCTCAAGAGTTTGCAATCGCTTAGCTATTTCTGTAGCATCATTGAGTTTCCGCTTCCGAGTTACGCGAACGTGTGACGCTTGTGGTTTCAACTCTGTCGGCATATTTGCCCATACGTAATCCAACGTCTTACCTTGTGAAGCGTCAAGAGCCAATTTATATTTATCAGAATAACGCTCTACTCCATCTGTTTTGCTTTTCGCTTTCACATATGCTGGAGACTCATGTAGGTACTCTATGAACTGGTCTTTTACAATCAGCATGTAGTCTGTAGCAGCGTCGCAAGTCAGAGGTAACGGCTTTCTCTCAAGTTTGGGGAATAAAGGCGGAGGAGCTAGGGTTGGTGCAGTGTTATCTCCTCGGCCAATTCCAAGTGCTTGTAGCTGTTCATGAGTTAAAGATAAGTTGTTGCCGCCGCGGCCTCTGCCTCTTCCAGCCATGGATATAGTTTTTTTTAAAGAATTTATGATAACTTAAAACGATAACTCGATTTGTTTATGTTTTGACGTCTTTCCGCTCAGAATTTGAGGTTATATAGATACTTTTTAATTTTACAATTTTGGCAACTTGGTATTATAGTTAGGTTAATATACGTTGTACATTTAAATAGATCAATTATTTATTTTATTAATTTTATAGGCCTACACATTTATTTTAGATTCTTCCTAACGATGCCAGAGCCAGACGATTGTTTGTATCGACGGGTGCTTTGAAGAGAGTTCAAGAGATAGACACGGTGCCCGGAACTTCACTGAAGGAGTATATCAACATAATTAATAGTTGTTTCCCTGAAGAAATTGTGAGGTATGGTCTATTTTACAACTAATTTAAAAAATTACACATACCTACTCAAAAACTGGCATTTCTCATACAAGTCCTATTTTATTTTTATTTACGTTGAATTTTCAAGACAATAGATTTACAAGTAACATGAAAATTTATTATTTTTGGCGAGTCAAATACAGGTCAATTTTATTCTCAGGTATTACTCACCGGGCTACTCCGAGTCTTTGTTAGATAGAGTCGAGGCTTATACTCCTCAGGTAAGTAAGAGCGGATTGGTACACGCTTTTCAGTAGATATGTGATCATCAATCATTTTCAATGTTAACTACCTATTTATTTCAGGTTCCAGAATTATTTACAGACAGAGTGCCCAGTGATTGCCAAAGTGAATTAACGGTAGAAAACGTCAATTAAGGTGTGTTTTATTAAATTAAAGTGTGTTTTATAATTTTACTCTTAATTTATTAATAAATGTTAATTTGTAGTAAAATGTTAACGTTTTATTCCATAGCTAGAGTCCAAACAGTTTTCTGTACTTGCAACGTTCGTCCTCCTATATCAGTTTTCTCAATCACCATCGATTGGCTCGAAACCTTGTAACTGTAACAAATTGCGTAACACAAGTTCATAAAATAAACACATTCGTAATCCGGCCATTTCGCCTTTCCTCTTCAAATTTTTTTCAGTGATTTGTACGCCTTTACCTCGATTGATAACTGCAAAATTATTAGGCTTCGAATATTTTCCGTGCCTATATTGGAGTCACCATCGTTTATTCTCAGTAATTCCATGTACTCAGTTCCACGAGGAACAATTGTAACCCAAAAGTAAAATTAAATATACTCCGTCAATGGTAGAATGAGATAGTCACTTCGATCGGCTGCTCCTACTAAACCAAATCGATCTGCTCGATTTGTCATTGAATCATGGAACGATCGATGATCGATCTGGCTTTTCTGTATACTATTTTAAAAGTTAAGGGACCTAAGAGCTACTGCATAAATTACTAAATCTATTATAGATCGATATTCGTTGATTAGCCAATGATAGGGCGTTACCAAACCAACCGATCGATGTTTTTTTTGTAGTTGTGACATGAATCGTATCGAGTTTTTGTAATTGGCAAGCTGGTCAAAAAAGCTTTATAACCATACAATAAGCGAAATAAGACGTATGTTTCGCTTCCTCGAACGTGCTCTTGATGATCTAAATACAAAAGCAGCACCCTCGATTAAGAAGAAATAAGACTTAAACTACACATTTACTCGAAACTTACTTCAAGCCATAGCTGCTAAGGATATTTAACAGAAGAACACCCTGTGCATCGACTTCATAGATATTACTAGTGTTGCCTTCTGAAGTAAGCTCATTTACTACTAATTGTTTACTCGTTATGGCGTGGCGTAGACTGTTCAGTTCTCCTTGTTGCAAGCCTTGTGCCTGTTAGAAATAAAAGAGTACCAATAGTGACCGGATATCAAAATTATATTTTACATGCACAAAGTTACAACACCTTAATCTCAGTACAGAGTACTAAAAAACCGACCATAAGTCTGTGGAATTACATCTTCTTGTCAAGTTTTATTGAAATCGGTTACCGGACAGTGCGCGAAATCGGACTCATCCCTTTATTTATTCAATTTTCTTCAAATTTAAATAGGACTAATACTGAGGTAGCCTCATTCCAACAAAATTGAAAAGAATCATAAATGTCAGAGTTATCGCGTAACAAACACAAAAAAAACCAGTCGAATTGAGAACGTCCTCCTTTTGTTTGAAGTCAGTTAAAAATACACGAGAGAACGATATGGTCCGGGATAACTATCATTTGATTGTATAAGTTTCCTTTTCGGTAATATTATATGGTGACAACCAAATTAGCGTGATTAAGGGAATCTATTGTTATCAGTCCCTAGACAACATAATATAATGTTTACTGTGCAGAAATGAAAGTTGTAGCTATAGAAATAACAAAGTAACGTTAAATGCCTCTCCTGTGAAATATGGTTTATTGCAGATATGCGCCTTTTTTTACCAATAGTATCGAGCACATGTTACCTATGGAATGAGCGTTTTTCCTTTTAAAATACACTACTTACGAGCACTTAGTTATCTGTCCCGTTACGTAAAATAATATAACTCAAATGAGTTTTCTCGTTCGAGTTATATTTTTTGTAGCACGTTTCAGGCAGCGATTACTTCGAGAAACACTGATTATTTACACAATCCCAATATTATACAAAGGTGTTTGTTAATCATACCTTTATTTCACACGAAGTGGAAGCTGTATCCTTCGCAATCGATTCTATGAGCACTATATAGGTCATGATTGGTTCTATTTATTAGCAATACACAGAGCTGGTATTGTGTGGACTTGCGAGATCCTCCAATGATTGCCCACGTTATCGTAAAATGTTTACTATTTATTAGGTTTTCCTATCATTCAAGGTGGTAAATGTGGTGAGAGAAAGAGGATGTGGTTATTGTTAAAAAACATTTTATTGAATATTATCAACGTGTTTGTTACAATAATTATAATTTAAATACAGGGTGTCTCACGGCAGAGTTAGGATTTTGAAATGAAATAAA